TTACCTAAATCTTCAATGAATTCTTGCATAGTTCAGAAGCAGTTTGCTCAATGTTTAGAATCTTGAAAAATGGCTAAAGTTTTTTTTTTTCTTTGGTTTGTTTTTTTTTTGTCGATCTTGTTTTCCGTGCTGAGCACCAATGCTACCGACGTGCCAGGAAGGCAGCTCCCACACCTGGACCCTACATATCAACCCATCAACTCATGAACCGGGGACCAACGGCTTTACTTCCCATCCGAAGGAAGGCGTGATCAGAGATGTTATGCCTCAGAACATCCCGGCGGCGCTGACTGGTATTGAACCCAGGCCTGCTGGGGTGAGAGGTAATCACGCTTACCACCGCCGCTAGAAGGAAAGTTTGTGTGTTCATTTTTTATGCGTTGCTTCCATCTTCACTCAAGCGCAGCGCTATTGTACCTGCCGCTTGGGTTCTGGCAAAGTTGCCAGTCTTCTTGATATGATGCCTTCGATTATGGTCAGGTTAAGGAACGTTTCAGTTATAATGGCATAATGGCATACATGTTATGAACTTTTCATTATCTTTAAGAGATTGAGCATTCAAATTAAAAATATTTAATGATTTAAAATCGATTACTGAATTTCAAAGTCATGACTATATTGTTCACAAATTTAACTCCATTTTGAATTGCATCAAACATGGAGTTAGTTTTCAGCATATCAGTAATCATGTCGATTGATTATTTCTGTAAAAATCCATCTTAGAAGCGGTAAGTCAAAATCATCAAAATTTCCGTTAGAATTATGATGGCTAGAATTTTGATTTCGATGTCTAACAGCTGCAATAGCAGCATACACACTAAGATTATGTTACCGAAATCTGTGAAATTTTACCGAAATCTCAACAGCTGAACAGGTAAACAGTTCGGTGAATTTTCAGTGTTCGTGTAATTTTTCAACGAATATCGGCTCGGTAAACAGACATTCAACTGTTGAGATTTCGGTAAAATTTCACAGATTTCGGTAAAATAATCTTTGTATGTAGGTAGTTCCATTCCCTTACTGAAAATTGTTCCCAGCAGGTATTGAATTTGAAGTTTGTAACCTGTTTGTACCTACGGGTACGAATGTAGAATTTGCTCCTCGCTGACCGTTGTTAACAGCAGAGGAATTTGTACCTGGCCGAGAACGTGGAGCGTTTCCTACCTGTCGATTAGAACGAGACTGTAGAATCGCTTTGCGAGTCTTACTTTCCCAAAAATTTGATTTGTGGTTTTCATCACACATTGAACATTTAAATTTCACGTCCTTTGCGTGAGAGGAACCACTACAATTCATGCATTTAGCTGGCATGTAGAAATTTTTCCATGACCCCATCCCTGGCATGTACGGCACTGGGTGAAGTTGTGGAAAATTTCTCCAGTCTTCCTTAAGTGTTCCCACTGCACTCGGACATGGAGCATAAGGCTAGCTTTTCCTAAGGCCTTAAGGTTGGTTAGTTCACTAGACTGGAAGTGAATAAAAATCGTTAGAAATCTCGTAGTGCGAATCGCGAGGACGGGATTTCATTTTCATTTCGATAACTTGGACTGGCACAACTCCAAGTAATTTTGTCAATTCATCTTTGATTTGATCCATGGATTCACCACTAGGCAGACCTTTCAAGACGAAATGTGTGTTGCTTCTCAGTAAGATATGATGAGAAAATGTTTGAATCCGTCCAAGGTGTCAGCCAATACACGGCATTCACCCCGACTGCCAATTTGAAGTGAAAACTTGAATTTAACGCAGTTCAAAAGTTCCGTGCGAAGAGCATGAAAATCCGAAGTGGTTATCACAATAGGGGGACCTTTTCCTTTTTGGCACTAAGCCGGGAATGTTTAATGGAATTCTGCCTGGATGATGGATCATTATCATCATCCGTGAGCATATCAAATTGATTGGTCAAATAAATTTCATCAGAGGGGGATCAAGAGATTGCCGTTTTTTTTGCGCTTAGGTGCAATGGCGGCAAAACAACGTTTCTCCAAATCGGCTTCCAAGCAGATTACTATAAGAATCCGAAAGATCGAAGAGGAATTTCTTAAATCGATATCCAAGCAGGATTACCTCAGGTAAGATCCAAACAAGGATCGAAGAGGAATAAAAATCCATCAAGGTAGACAATTTGCAGGTTATCAAAGTTGGTTTGAAATGCTTTCTAACATGAAGCTTTAGTGTGATAATTTATTAGCTAGAGAATAACCTTAGAAGAGGGTAGTTGGATAGTTCCGTTAGAGGACGGCAGTATGAAAATTGAATAGAAGTTGAAAATGAGTGAAGGGCCATTAATGCGACAGTACAAAGTCAAACGCACACCTTTTGCCTAACCCGTACGATGTACGCGGAGATTTGAAGTATGTATGTCTTCAAATCTACAGGCAAAAAGTGTGCGCCCGCCTTTGCTCATTACTGTCTGCGGCTGTGGAATAGATCTAGGGTTTCATCGCTACTCTGAAAATCGCGAACTTCGCGTATGAAGTAAGTAAGTAGAAAGTTTGAGAAATTTTAGTAAAACGTCTCATTTTGGTATATCCTTTTTGAAACTTTTTTTTTTAAAGTAAGACGAGGCTTGGGAGCTAAGTGGTTATCGTTTCTGCTTACTGAGCAGAAGGTCGGTAATTCAATCCCAGGCCCATCCCCTTCCTTGCAATTTTTTACTTTGACTTATTATTATGTTTAAATGAAAACGAATTCTGCTTTAACCAACCGATCGCATCACTTACCACAGTTCAATACTGATCTAAAAATAACCCACCTCACTAACATAACTCCGGAATGATTTGAGATGTGGGCGTAATTTCATTTGTAAACAAACACGTAAAACACAGATTTTTCGCGAATCAAAACTCGACCTCGAAAACTAATAACACTATCAGGTAGAGGAATGATTCTTCTACCATTTGGTTTAGTTTGTTCATGAGATTGATCTGTTATTCACGAGAATTAAGCGATTGACGTGTTTGTTTACAAAAGCAATTACGCCCAAATCTCAAATCACTCCGGAACTATCCTCCCAGTGAAAGCCGTGGAGATGCAGAGGTGTATTCGGTCTCTAGTAGCAACGGACGTCGAACTAATCATCCTTCCCTCCCCAAAAGACTGTAAGGACGTGGCCGGCGCTGTGATTGATTTATAAATACATAGATTGAATTAGTGTGCTTGTACATGGAAGATGGAAAGCGAATCCCATGCACCATCTACGTGGTTTTCTGTGCATGTGGCTTAGTTCTGATCAATCACGGAAAAGCAAGTACAAAATGCACGGTCCTTTAAAAAAAATATACCAAATAAGCTAAAATTTTGTAGTCGCTACATGGAACTTTTATATGATTTTTGTTTTACTGAAATCCATTCAGCATAAAAAAAGTTACATCCGTTTTATTTTTTTCACCATCTGAAAAAAATGCATGGTGATATTCTTTTGGCTTGTTATGTGATTGCTACAACCTAAGTAATATATATAATATCTCTTAAATGAAGCGTTTGATCCTCACATAACAAAATAGCGTTGAATGGGTACTTAGGTAAGGTTTATTTAAAGTTCCAGATATAATGTTCTTGAGTGCCTTAAGTGCATTCTCACTATTTAAGATACCCAGACAACCAGAAGTCATATTAAAGAGGAGTATACTTCAGCAGATAGAATCGTTTATAGAGTAAATTTAAATTTGCACGTAGGGTTGAGAACTACGTCGGCCTAATCACCCATTTTGGGCCTATCGAGTAGAAAACATCAAATAAATCCATGATTTCGACCCTGACAAGTCAATTATGCGTTTGGTACGATTCTTTAGCTCAAAAGCTACCGAACGAAGTAAAAAAAACGCGTGTTATGAATGTTTGTTCCCATTATTCTCAAAAAAGAAGCGCTCCGAATGAATCAATTTTTACCTTCTTCCGATATGCCGAAGTGAATTCAATAGCAATTCAATGGCGTTTTAATGCGTTAGGCCGATTTTAGAATCCGTAGGCCAAGTTTGAGGTCAAGAAGCAGTGATAGATTTTTAACAATATTTCAACAATTAGCTACTCTTCATCAAATCATATGGTAGGGGAAATGGATGTAATGTCGGCCTAAATGCCCCTAATTTGGGTCCATACTTAAATTCAGCAATCGACTAAATTTTCAATAGCGACCAAAAATATCAATTCGTACCGTCCCAATAAAATTGATAAATAGAAGATTTTTAGCGATGGGTCCAATCTTAAATCCCGGCCAACATTTGAGCCATTTTTCCTACGTACGGAAAGGTAAATACATTTAGAAGTCATCTGCAGCAAAAACATTCAATTTTGTGAAAAAAAAAAAAATCCGCGTGGGTTGTGCTTAGTAGGCCCAACATTTTATCTAAGCCCTATATTGGGTTTTTTTATGTGATCAATGTAAGAATGTGTACGAGACGATCAAAATCCCTTAATATCTCATTAGATTCACTAACCAATCACAGTCACATTTTTCTAGCATCATATAATATTTTTCATAAGATTTTAAGACCACTCTAAGTAGTACAAATATTAGTCATATTTTTGTATCTCAATAGCTTAAGAGAATATTTTTGGAAAAATTGCTCAGTTTTTCATAAAATCGCTTGGATTGAAAAATATTTCAACTGTTGGCTCTTTTCAAAGGCCAGTTTCACATTCTACATTCATAGATTTCCAGGATCAATTTTATTCCAATAACATTCGAAGCCCGCCCCTCCATCCATACTAGACACTCTACCGAGCACAGTCGTTTTCAGCTTTTTGGTCGTTCTGTTGCTTCCCGAGCCGGCCTTGTGTGATGAAATAATCTTCCCTACTTCTGTACATTCCCGTGCTAATTACTCGTATCACTCGCCTGTCAGGTCGCATAATTGTCGTCGCGTTGCTTTTGTGCTGGAAGTTCTGTCCCCACTCACCCCACACTCCCATCTAACCCCTTCTCTGTTAAATACACATGACCCCAACTCCAGAAATTCTAATGGTGTTACCATATCCTTCTTTTTCTTTATTTGCAGGAATTTCTGTTAGCTATCGACGTTACATCTAGTGGCACACCGGAGGAGAAGCTAAAGTGGGCGTTTAGGATGTACGACGTGGACGGTAACGGCGTCATAGATATACAAGAAATGACCAAAATAGTTCAGGTAAGTGCACGTCCTGCCTCTAACGGTGTTCCATCAGTGCGTGCCATCGTCGACGGGACCCTCGGTCTCGAGTGAGGGCCGGTCATACGTGTGTGTTAAGTGGGCAATAATTGAGTCCGATAGGGGGAGCGGGTGATACCTTTATAAAAGGGTTGTGAAAATCGTAAAAAGGAAATCCTGTACAGAGAATGGCTCACATCCATAATGGTGGAGGCGGTACACCATCCGATCATGCACGAAAGAGTAATTAATGCGGACTAGCATAATAAGAGTGGTTTAAATTATTACGACTAGTTTTTTTATGGCTTCTGCTGGCAAAAGTTTTCACGCTTGCAAGGATTATGACAACAGAGCACGTGAGATTATAATGCACGATAATCCTTCGCTTCGGTTTTCGTGCTGCGATATGTAAATTCGCAAATTGAAGGGTTTCGGTCGTTGCCGCAAATAATGGTCTATGGCAATTTGGATACAATGAAACCACAATGGAGCGGAATAAGAAATTTCGCAACACTACCTATATTGTGTGGTTAAATATAGGATGTGGTTGCAATGCGAGGCTCTACATGCCCAGTTAAGTAAGTAGTTTAAGGTGTGGTTTAAGTGTTAGGTGAGAGTGCGCAGTTTGTGAGCCTTGAAGATGGTGGAAAGTCAACGAGCTATAATGGAAAATGCATGATCGCTTCTTGAAGTGGCGTTTCTTGTTTCAAAACTTCTTCAAGCGAATAAATTTTCCTAACCGCAACATTCTACCTCGTCGCACTGAAGAGCTTACCTATCGCATGAAATTACCCTTTATTTGAATTTCCCTCTTGAAAATCTCATTCAATTTCCCTGTTTCAAGTCAAACACACATAAACTCAGAATGAACGGGAAAGAGAGCGAAACTCGGAACATTTGCAAATTTAATAATACTCCAATGACAGCATTTCCCGGATTTCCCGAACACTTCCTTTGATGAAGCGGAAAAAGTCGCTGCCTCCCATGTTGCCTCGTTTCTTTTTTTTTTCATTTTTATAAACGTAGCGGAAAGCTAGAAGACACTCACATAATCTGAGCATTTATCATCATTCGAGGAAAATCTGCAATGCGATTTTGTCGCTGAGGCTGCTCCGTTCGTTAGATTTCGTTTTTTTTTACTTTCTTGTATCAAAATCAGTTCAGTACCCACTCCTACCTTCTATCTACTGGTTTTTACGCATTGGCACAAAACGGAGGAAACCTAGGGAAAGAATATAATTTGCGGTATGTGGAGTTGATCATGCTCAGTTTCGGAGAGGTTTACATTTTCTTGAGCTTGAGGTGAATTAAAAATGAGCTCAGATGAGATTTTGGTTATAGATTGAATTTCTAAACAGAATGTACAGTTCGCGGAAGTTACTTTCTATTTGCAATAAATTAAATGATCTTATTGGAAACGATTTATGACAGTGGTTCTCAAACGTTTGTAAATTGCTATAAGGGTTCTTTCTTCTTTGTCGCATTTTAAGCTTATTAGCTTATTGCGTGCTCTCAACTCAGTGTTCTAGATGTACTTCCACAGTTTTATAATTGAGAGCTTTCGATGCCTGTAGGTTTTTTGTGGCAAGTACAATCATACTCTTTGCCCAGGGAAGTCGACAAAATTTCCAATCCGGTTCTTAGACCGGCCCAGGAATCGAACCCAGTCACCTCCAGCACGGTCTTGCTTTGTAGCTGCACCTTTATCGACTGAGCTAAGGGAGGCACTACACCGCACAGTGGCACGAATATGAATAAAGACGTTCAAAAACATTTTCTACCCTTTTTCGACGTTTTAGAGACTGGGTGTCTTGGGAGAAGTTGCTCAAAATTATATCTCGCATCTTTTGAAATACAAACCTGAATAATCTTTAAGCTAGTATTACACATCCAAATTCTAATTTTTTTCCAGTTACGAGATAAGGGTTCCATGAACAGGACAAAGTTGCAAAGCAGTTGATTTTATGAACATTTGCCATAGACACCAAATTTCTACATCATAACTCTGTAGAGCTGTAATAGATTTCCTTTTAAGACTACCTTAATATCGGTTTTTTGTGTTAATTAGTGCTTTTTTTCAAATTTGATCAATTTATCATGTTCTAAGAAATTGTTGGCATCATTAAAATATACAACTTTGCTGAATACACCAATGCTTTTTATTATTATTATTATTATTTTCTCTATTTAGGAGATTTTCAGCCGCAGGCTGGTTCATCTCCGTATACACCAATGCTTTTCATTGACATCAATGTGATATACAGCCCATCAAACGTTTTTGTGACGTCATATTCAACGGCTCGAAAAGAGGGTGGGCGGACCCTGGCGGGGTCTAAAACTGGTTGTATTTTGAAGATTACCTTATAAAATAGTACTTCTGAAAATTTCAGCGTTGGGTACTGAGGGGTACCTAGCCAAATCTCGATTCGAAAATGTCAATATTATATACTGCCCATCGGACGGTTTTGTGACGCCATATTGAACGGCCCGAAAAGATGGGAGGCGGCCCCTGGCAGGGTTTAACACCGATTGAATTTCGAAGAGTACATTATATAATAGTGCTCCTGAAAAGTTCAGCGTACCACTACGACAAGATGAAAAGGTGTATGAGAATATATTGGACACGGTGTAGATGCACTTTCATAGTTATTAATTACGAACTATCTATGTCAACACCAATGCATGAATTTGTATATTGTGGGGTAAGTAAAATGATACTCGATGCCCAGGGAAGTCGAGAAAATTTCCAATCCGAAAGATTTCCTCGACTGGATGGGGAATCGAAGTCGCCACTTCCGGCTTGGTATAGTTTCGTGCCTGAATGGGCTATCTGAAACGCCTTACTGGTCATGGAAAACAGGTCTGGCAATGAGAATTTGTATTCTTTTTCTTTATCCCGTTAATTCTTATGTAACATCGAGTATGACGTCAACCTTGTGGGAGAATGATAGAGACGGCAAATTTGCTTTACCAAACCTGTTTTCGCTGACGTTGTCTTGCCCATGAAGCTGCGCGATGTTAATTTCGCTGTAAAGCTAATAATTTATTTAGTCAGGGTGTCATTCTGTTGGTAAGAGGTAATAACAATCCCCATATCATTTTTTTAAAAGTTGAAATAATACGCTTTTGATGCCTATTCAGGTTAAAAAAAAGTAACTTTTTTCATCAAAAAGTCACTTAAGTGACTATTTCTTAAAGTTTAGTCACTAAAGTCACTTATTTACTACCAATGTTGAGAGTAACTAATTTGACTTTAAAAACTAAGATTAAAGTCTGACAAGAAAAGTTACGAACATAGGGAAACGTTTACTGTTCACGAAATCTAATATTTTATTTATTTTTATCTTGAAATTGTCATAGACCTATCATAAATTTTCAGAGATTTCTAAAAAAGCTCTAGACCCAATTTTCTGGTTGAGATCTTAAAAGTTATCCAAGCTTAAACTGCAACAAAAAGTTTCTTAAGATTCACCTGAATAGGCACGTTCACATTTTCAGGTGAATATAACGTGTTTTTTGGCGTGTTCACTCGGCTGTCGACAAAAGCAGGCCACTCTCGATGTATGCCACGCGATCGTCTGTTTTCTCGGCAGCAACCATTGTGTGGTCCTCCTCATTGTTCTTCATCAGTAGTTCTTTCAGTCGACTTTGGAAAGCAACCGTTTAGTGATGAGTGTGTGAGTGCTGACCACGTTTTGCGTCCATTGCTGCAATGGAAACGCTCTGACCCTCGTTGGCGGAACTGCCATACAAGTAAACCACTGGAAGCGGCTCCAGTTCTGATGGAGGAGGCTTTTTGGACAGCGGAAGATAAAGTGTTTATTGTGTTGTACCTTTTGACTATAGTTTTAAGATGTATTGTATAGTGATCAAGAATACTCGGCTCCGTAAAGTTAATTCGTTTGAACCTTATCAAATAAATTAATAAACAACAATAACGTGTATTGGGCAAGAGATTACATTTGAGTGATTCACATAGAAATCAATTGATTTTCACAAAATTTTTATAGGATTTTCCGATAATCTTCAAATTGGCATCACTTAAAAGCTCCGGAAATTAGCAAGTAGATAGTTGAAGATGCTAATTTTAAATAACAGACTGTAGTGGTAATTTTTATATACGATAGATGGAGTAGATGAAAACATAGAGTTGATAGTTCCGTTAGAGTACGGCAGTGTGAAAATTGCATATAGATATTAGAATAGCGAGCTAGGACAACTTTTAAGGAAGGTACAAATCGGTTTTTTCAGCTCTCTTTACCAAACTCCCCCTTTGGAGAGGGATGGTGAGGGGTGTACCCCCCCCGCCATCACTGGCAAAAAGAGAGGAAAACCGACCCGCTCAAGTACCAACTGTGTGTTTGAAACAGTTCTACCGATTTTTACCGCACTTCAGTTGTTATTTGAAGGAAGGCATCCAGTCGTAGGTTTGGAAATTGTAACTATTGTTTATCGTCGTTAGTCGATGATGACAGGAGCCCATTAGCTGAATTAAAGACAGACTTCAAAATATCTGTGTATACATTTACCCAATCAAAAAATCTGTATATCTGTATACACAGATTCTTGGTATATAAACTGCTAAAAATCTGTATAAAAACAGATTATTCTGTATTTTTGGCATCCCTGGTACCTGACTCAAAAAAAGTTGTCGGAACTCTTTTTTATGCATTTAGATTAACATCCGAAGTCGCTCCTTTTAAGCATGCTTGATACAAAAAATACTTCCTAAGCTCCGCCCCGAAATTAATTACGCGCTTTTTCTTTGAATGGGGTTGAACTTATGATGAATTTTTTTGTGTTGAGTATGCTTAAAAGAAAGGATTTCCAATGTGAATCCTAATGCATGTATACAGCCATTCCATAGAAAAACGATATAGTGGTTCCCAGAATTTCATAAAAATTGGTAGTTTTGTTCCTTATCGCAAAATCTAAGACCATTTTTTTTATTTTGTCATTGGGTGACCATTTCCATGTTCAGATGGTCCAAAAAATTGTTT